TGTGTGTGTGTGTGTGTGTGTGTAACATATATATGTGTGTGTGTAACTATATAGCTGTGTGTGTGTGTGTGTGTGTGTGTGTAACATATATATGTGTGTGTGTAACTATATAGCTGTATGTGTGTGTGTGTAACATATATATATGTGTGTGTAACTATATAGCTGTATGTGTGTGTGTGTAACATATATATGTGTGTGTAACTATATAGCTGTGTGTGTGTGTAACTATATAGCTGTATGTGTGTGTGTCTGTAACTATATAGCTGTGTGTGTGTGTAACATATATGTGTGTGTGTAACTATATAGCTGTGAGTGTGTGTGTGTAACTATATAGCTGTGTGTGTGTAACTATATAGCTGTGTGTGTGTGTGTAACTATATAGCTGTGTGTGTAACTATATAGCTGTATGTGTGTGTGTGTGTAACATATATATATATGTGTGTGTGTGTGTAACATATGTGTGTGTGTGTGTGTAACATATGTGTGTGTGTGTGTGTGTGTGTGTAACTATATAGCTGTGTGGAGTGTGTGTGTGTGTGTGTAAACGCTATGCTGTGTGAGTGTGTGTGTGTGTGTAACTATATAGCTGTGTACCTATATAGCTGTGTGTGTGTGTGTGTGTAAATATATGTGTGTGTGTGTGTGTGTAAATCTATATAGCTGTGTGTGTGTAAATTATAGCTGTGTGTGTGTGTGTAAAATTATATATGCTGTGTGAGTGTGTGTGTGTAAATCTATATAGCTGTGTGTGTGTGTGTGTGTGTAACTATATAGGCTGTGTGTGTGTGTGTGTGTGTGTAACTATATAGCTGTGTGAGTGTGTGTGTGTGTGTAACTATATAGCTGTGTGTGTAACTATATAGCTGTGTGTGTGTGTGTGTGTAACATATGTGTGTGTGTGTGTGTGTGTAACTATATAGCTGTGTGTGTGTGTAACTATATAGCTGTGTGTGTGTGTAACTATATAGCTGTGTGTGTGTGTGTAACTATATAGCTGTGTGTGTGTGTGTGTAACTATATAGCTGTGTGTGTGTGTAACTATATAGCTGTGTGTAACATATATATATGTGTGTGTAACTATATAGCTGTATGTGTGTGTGTGTAACTATATAGCTGTGTGTGTGTGTGTGTAACTATATAGCTGTGTGTGTGTGTGTGTGTGTATGTGTAACTATATAGCTGTGTGTGTGTGTAACTATATAGCTGTGTGTGTGTGTGTAACTATATAGCTGTGTGTGTGTGTGTGTAACTATATAGCTGTGTGTGTGTGTAACTATATAGCTGTATGTGTTTGTGTGTGTGTGTGTGTGTAACTATATAG